ACAAAGGAACTTTCTTTCACAATTGCGTTTTGTTTTTTAATTACATAGTGTTGTACTAAAATTGAAAAAGTAGTTTTTCCGACAATAGGTCGTAATTCGTGCGCTCAGAGAATAAGACACGTCGCGTCGTCGTTGTTGTTTGCTCGTTTACTTCGATAAAAAATGGAAAACGCGAAATGGAGAGAATGAAAACTTATTATAAGCAACAAACAGATCCGCGACATCGGTAGAATTATGCAACAGGCTCACGCGAATGAGCGCGTTTTCCAAAATGGATGTAGTTTTAAATTCAACTCGCGAGCGTTTGTGTGGTGCGAAATTATAATATATATCATTATATAATTATATTATATTATATATCAAACTGATGTGTTATCGGCATTGCACAGGTTGTAATACTTACAAAAACGTACGCGTGAATTGAACCAAAAAAAAAAAGACAAAAAAGAACAAAAAACAAAAAAAAACATTTCCCAAAGGAAAGCTAGGCCCACATTTATTCACGCTAAGGAAGTGCGGGTACTCGCTAAAGTGTAAAGAGTCGGACACACCCCCAACAAGTCTCGTTAAAATCTGAAGTTAGACGTCAAGGTGTGACACTTCCGCGCTTATATATTACATTTTGTTATACACCCTTATTATCTTATCCTTGTTACACACCCTTACAATCTTAAAATCTAGAAAGACACCAATCTTTTAACATAAAAAAAAAAAAAATTCCGATTAAATGGAATAATCAATTACGTTCGCACAATTCAAATATTCTCATCATCCGTTGTCAGGTGTGTTCGAAGAATATGATTCTTCAAATCAAAAATTTGAAGAACCCCCCTCCCCCGAACAAATCATCGGTCGGATGATGTTGTGATCTGCGAAAATTTCGAGCATTCACGCCCCCTAAAATTTATGCCGTCTCGTGGCAGTTGTAATATTGTAATCTACAACATTTGGACATTTGTACTTGACGTATTATAATAGTCGCGCAATATGACAAAATATTAGGTACTACAGAGCCATGACTTACACTGTATCGGATATCGTTAGCGTTTAAACATTCAAATTTTAATTATCTCGCGCTATTTTTACGAATTCTCACTTCTGTTTCTTTCCTCTTCTTACACAGGAATGAGACATTTATTCTTAGATTAACGGATTATTATTTTACGCGTTATTTTATTAATAATAAGACCGTCTGCCTTGTGAATGGGGCAGAGGCCGTCGACCTCAACGGACTTTGTGTGCGGACTATGATAATGAAAATTCCAAGTGTCACACTCGCGTGACGAACAGTAACATCGAACGATAATATATATCGGAGAGATAAGATTAATTGAGGTTTACAGTGAAAGTCAGGCCGCAATTCTCTTCACGCGTAATATTATATTTGGTCGAGTTAGTAGGTATCCTTTTTTTTTTCTTTTTTTTAAATAATTTTACTGTTCGATGCTAATGTAAGTAAGATTAATAATTCAACTTCCTCGGATTTTACATCAACGAATTCTTCTTTGGAATCTCACGCGCTTTGGTTAGCAATGTGTTATTACTAGTCGACGTCTCAGGTACTCTTTACGTTTAAAACAATTCGCGGTAAAAGACAAGCTCTTTTACGCACATACAACATGAGGACGAGAGAGAAGATGTTACACGTGTAAAGCCTTAGTGTTGTCGAAATACACATCTGGAAAAAGGATACCGCGGATCTTTCGGAGAGAAGCTCGATATAGGTTTTTTACTTCCTTTTTTCTTTTTTTTCTTTTTTTTTTGTTTTTTTTTTTTGTTTTCTAAAGTAGCATCGATTCTCGTGTTTATGTCTTGTGTGCATATAGAAAAATATGTTTTGCGAAATATTCAAAATTCCGATCTTCCGCCGTCGAGATGAGAATTCTATTCGACGATATCCTGACCGTTCTCGACCTGACACTGGGTATCCTTTTCCGTCTGCGACGAGTCGTCGTCGTCTTGACGCGCCTCCTTCCTCTTGTCCTCGTCCTTCGCGTTCTCGCTCTTGCTCGTCGAATTTGCCGAGTGCGACTTGTTCAGCAGCGAGCTGAACTCGCCGAACTTCAAAATTTCGTCCATCTCGCTTTGCTCCACAGTGAGTAACTAAAAAAACATGTGTAAATGGGGAAAAAAACCAGATAAATTATCTCGTGAGAAGAAACACAAACGTGGATGGTGTTTTCAACGCGACACGTTTTTATTATTATTATTATTGTTGTTATTATTATTACTTAGATTGTAAATTTAAATTCCTTGTTTCGTGCTTTTTTGCGCTACTACCTTGCGCGGTCTACCACGTTTGCCTTTCCCCGGCAGCGACACCGTCTGAGTGCCCTTCTTTTTCGTCCACTGCAAGTGCGAATCCAGATGTTGCTTCAGCTTGTCCTGCCTGGCGAACATTCGCGGACAGATGCTGCAAGCGAACGGTCTCTCGCCCGTGTGTACCCTCCGATGTCTCGCCAAGTGCGACGCCCTCGTGAACGCGAGCGTGCAGAGATCGCACGAGAACGGTTTGTACTGCGATCTGTCCGATTTGCTGAATATCCTCGTCGCTTTCTCCTCCCTCTTCACGACGTCGAGTTTTCTCTTTACACCTACCTTCGACGGCTCGTCCGAACACTTCGGAGTTTCCTGCGAATCAACGTGCGTGTGGGATAAAACGAAAGAAAAAAAATAATTAACAGAGTATTTATATTGAATTAAAAAAAAAAAAAAAACGGCGAGAGAAGAGTCAAACGCTTTTTTGGCCTTTCTTTTTCTTTTCATCAATTTTAACTCTGTAGGGTCTTATATTATCTTTTACTTGTTACTAAAATATTTATGTATGTAGAGAAAAAGAGAGAGAGAGAGAGTCAGAAATTACTAATTAAAAATAGATTTTTTTTTAAATATCAGAATTATTGAAAATCATTTCATTTAACAAAATGTTTGACCATTGGAACGTTTATCTAATCTTTTATCAATTATCTCGCGGTTACGAGCCGAGAGAAAACGCTTTTACGCTTGCACATACGTTATATTTTGTAGATTAGCGAAAGAATGCGTACGGCATTTCACACACACACACACACACACACCTGTCCGTTCTGACTATCCGACATCGCGACATCCGTCGGCCCGTCGTCGAAAGTCGCCTCGCATTTAACGGCCTTCGAGGAATTCTCGTAGCTCGGCTCCTGCGAGATGTCCTTCGCATTGAATCGCAATTGCAGCGAGTCGCTGTTTCGCGTCACGCGGCCCACGGCCACTCTCTTCTGACCCTTGAATCTAGTTTCCCGCTTGTACATCGGAGGTGGTATGTGTTTCTGAAAAAAGTTGTTGTACACACAAAATACATTCGCGAAAAGCACAGCTCGCGTTAAAAAAAAAAAAAAATCTCCGAAGCGGAGCCTAGTGTATGAAAAAAAAAAAAAATGCATTGTCGAAATATTCAAAGAAACATATTCCCCATCGAACAATGGGAAAAAAGTTTGTGCAAACGCGGATCTGGAAACGCTGCTTAGTTTTCGAAACAGAAGGAATATCGTATTGTTCTCGACAAACAATTAACGAGCAATTGCAACAAAGCAATTAAAACAAGACGAAGTCTTAAACGGAACGAGCAAAGAAAAACCAAAGTAAACGCAAGACGAAACATTTTGTTACGAGATTTGTTCGAAGCGATTCTCCTCCTGCGTCGAAAAGGAAAAATCTTTATTGTGACTCGAGAATCAAGCGTCGTTTCCACCAAAACCACCTCGTGCGTTTACACGAACTTCTTTTGGTAATATTTGACATCAATTATACGCCCTGCACCGCTTTCGAGCTTACTATTTGCGTTTCCGGAGCTCGCGGAAGCTCGTCGAAGCTGTCCTCGTGACCGTCACTGACCAGCGGGTCGTCCTCCACCTCGATCTCCTCCACTTTGATCTGATCGTCGATCGAGTCGATGTTGGAGTGATTCGGCAGGAACGGGATCATCGACGGATCTTTTATGTATTCGGTGGTGTGCACCCTGGTCTCGATGTGGCACCGTTGCATTCGCGTCTCGACCCTCGTGTAAAGATTGCGACTGTTTTCCGGATTCTTCTGCTCGCCCGAGAGACCCCGTATCTCCAAATCAGTCGCGGTTTTTATCAACGAGGGTAGAAGCGCCTCCGTCACGTCGATGGATCCTCTATACATGAAGTCCAGGAGACACTCCATCTCCTCGACCGCGACTCCTGCGCAATCCGTCAAAATGATCATCAACATGAATCTCGGAAATCTAGCCGGATCTACTTGCGAGAAATGTTCCGAGTGATTTTTTTTGTTCCAACGGGGACACAAAAAAAAAGTGTGAAATTGTTTTGAAGCTCTCTGAACGATTTTCGATGTTAATTAATTATTTAAATATTGGAGAAATTATAAAAATAACGAGAGTGTTTTCAAACACCCATCGGATTTTTTTTAAAAATCCGCATATTGATCTCGCACCTTTTAAAATCAAAATCGGTTGCTCCCCGTAATGTTCCTTGAACACTCTCTCGAAGTAAGGACTGCACGCGGCCAGAACCAGTCTGTGAGCCCTGAGCATACCGCCCTGGCAGGCCAGAGTCGCGTCCGTCAGGGAGCCGCTCTTGTACAGAGTTTCGAACAAACCCGACAGATTCGTCAGATGATTGTTCCACGTTAGGTTGAACGTCTTCTCGCCCATGTTGTTGTTGTTGTTGTTTTTTTATCTCGCTTTTCTATCACGTTCCTAAAATAAAAAAGGTACATCGATTTTCGCGTATTGTCGCGACGTTCGAGGAAACGCGAACGTTCCTCCGCACGAGCGTCACAAAAACGTGTGTTTTGCGCATCTGGTGTGTACGCGAGAAACTTGACAAATTATGTAAACTACACACACACATGCACACACGCACGCACGCACTCGGACGACTTTAAGTTAATCCGAGTTTTTAATTAAAACGCGTATTTCCGCGACGCTCGCGATTTGCCGTTCGCATTTTGAAGGACAGTCGCGACGGATCTTCAACCGTCTAGGAGGAGGGGAGACGCATCCGTTCGTTAACGAAGTTAATGTAAACTCGCGCGTAAACAAAGTGCGGAAGATTCACCGGGCTGTTTGCGGGAGCGCGATTATTAATCGCGCAGCGCGGAATATAAACTAATATACGGCTCTTCTCTATCTCGCGCGTTGGCGTCGCGGAGTGAAATAATCGCGTCTTCTCGTACGTACGCGGGCCGCGTGGCAGCGCGCGGTGCAACACCACACGTCACACATATATCGCTTTAATTGACACGTTCCGCGCAATTATTCTCTGATCTCGCCGTGCATGTGTATTCGCACTACCACTCGCGCGAGACTGTCTCGCGCTGTCTCTCGTAATCGCTGGCCGCGTAACCGTCACACAAGTTTGTTTTACCTACGCGCGGTTTGCGCCGCAAACACATTCGATAAAAACAGCCGCAGTAATTTCGAACATATACGTATGTGCCGTGCGCGCGAGGCGAAGATTTTTTGTTTTTTCACACACGCGACATCCTCCTCAATGGATGTCAATTTGTTTTTTTTCATCGAAAAGACATCGAACTCGCCATTTTCTACGCGTGATTTTTTTCGCAAACACGTACGCGGTCGTGTGTATTTCCCCTCCCCTCCTCCTTTTGTCCGATGAGACCAGTTTCTTCCTCGCGCGATCGGTCTCGTCACGATTTTTTTTTTTTCACAAAGAATTTTCTTACGGCCGGGGGGTTCCGTTTCAATCTGCGACGCGTTGTTGTTGGTAAACTCGCAAAGACAGGATCCTGCGCGCGTGAACGAGAGAAAGAGAGAAAAGGAGAAAGAGAAAAATCTCTCCTTCGCGCAGGAAGAGTTTTTCTTCCCAGGAGGGCACACACGCGGAAACACACAACGTCCGTGGGACGCGGTTTGCTGCGTGTGCGTCGCGAGTGCGTGCACGGGCAAGGGCTAAAAGCGACCGATAGTCATGCGCAGACGTGAACCCTCGGCGTTGCCTCGATCCATAATTTTGTTGGTGGACCCCTCCACGCATTTCTAAGGGATTCTCGCTCCGCACGGGAATGGGTCAAACGCACCCTTTTTCCCGTCCCTTTTTCTCGCGATCGTCGTAATCGCGCGGGGGCGGCGGGAGGAGAGGAGGGATTATCGCGCGAGGGACAGCTCGCGACGAAATTGATCGCGCTGTTTTTTTTTTTTTTTTTTTTCGAAAAAATTGCGACGCAATTGAGAAAATTCGAAATTTTTGTTCATTTGTTTGCGCTTGGAAAAAAGAAACGCGGTGACGTAAAGACTACATTATGTTATTTTTAGCGAAGGAAAACTGCACAGAATTCCGCGGGGAGGCGGATGAAAAACGCGCTTCGCGTTCGAGCATTGCGGCGCGCGAACGAGCACGTGTGTCGCTCTCGGATATATAGAGCACACACGACCCGCAGGTTTGTGCGTGTGTGTGTGTGTGCGTGTGCGCGCGTGTACCCAATTATATAGCAGCATTTGGAAGATTAAACTCGACTCTCTGTCCGTGAATTATTCCGCGTTAGAGGAAAAGCGCGACGGCGTTACACACAAGGCGACGACGCGCGCGCGCGCGCGCGCATACACACACACACACACACACACACACACATCGAAACGGACCTTGAGAGTCGCGAGGACGATTTTTTTTTCGTCGCGATCGCTCGGCGTGTGCTCGCGTGACGGACACGCCGCCGCGGTTCGAACAACAATTGACGATTGATCGAGAGGGATTGCGAATAATCAATAAGTAAGAAGCGAAAACATGTGTGAGGTTTCAGGCACGTTGCACACGCGGCGCATGAGGCGAGCGATAAAAAGAGAGAAACAGAAAAAACAAAAAAAAAAAAAACAAAAAACAGCAATAACGGGGCGTATATTGTACACGTGACTAACGTGACCAGGAATGCGCGAGTTCGCGCGCGTTCAGCGCGAAAATCGACGAAAGCCGCACGTCGTGCCGTTGTAAGACGGACGTCTCGTAACAACGTCGCTTTGCCTCGCGCGGCGCGTCGCGCGCGCCGCACCGCGCGTACGCCGCTGGTGCCCCGGTACCTCTTTCGCGGACTCTATTAATATCCCGCGCCTCTCGACATCGATGTCGACGTCGCGCGAAACTCGGAAAACCGCACACGTTCCGGGGGGGGAACCGCGCGCGACCGCAGCGGGAGAGATCGCGAAGGCGCGGCCTTACCTTTGCCACGTATTCGCGGGATTAATACGTTGTCTCTCTCTCGTGTTGTTTCTGCGTTTCTCTTCTCATTCACGAAGAAGAAGAAGAACGTCGTTATAGCACGCGAGAGAACGGCGAATTCCCCCGTCCGTCGTTCGGCCGATCCTACCCCAGAGTATATTTTCAGCTCCGACGACAGAGTCCGACGACAGATCCGTTTGGTTGAATGAAATCTTCGGTTTTAATTAGGCCGTCGTCGTCGTCGTCGTGCGAGCAGCGTGTTGGAACCCGTGAGAGGCCTGAGGCGACGATGATGCGCGCGATATGATATATGTATATATATATAACGCTGGAGGGGCGGAATATATACGGTATCGGGAGAGACTGCGAGGGGCACGGCGCACTGAGGAACGACAACGTGCTGGGGCTCCCTCGACCGAGTCGCGACTGATATCATTTCCAGCGGGGGACTGTAGGGTCGGCAGCCAGAACCCCACCAGGGGGTCCTCGTGCAACCCCCACGCGGTGTCGTGGTAGTCGTGTGCTCATCGTCGACGTCGTCGTCGCCGCCGCCGTAGTCGTCGTCATCGTCGTCGTCGTCGTCGTCGTCGTCGTGTGCCAGCCTCTCGAAACCCCCCGCACACGCACACGCATGCACGCACGCACACGCACACGCGCGTGCAAGTGTACATATGTATATATATATATATATATACATGCACTGTGCCACAGGGAGAGTCATCGTTTCTCTCTCTCTTTCTCTCTTTTTCTCTCTATCTCTCTCCCTCCCTCTCTCTATCTCTCTCTGTCCCTCTTTCCCTCTACGGGTTTTCCCTCTTTTTCTCCCGCGTTCGGCTGAGCCCTGATTTCACGTCGCCACGTCTTTGTTCCACCGATGAGGATGGTCTCTCCTCCGACCTGTACATCTCGCTCGCGCCACGACGACGCTCGCTCCCCCCCTTTGTGTGGCGGCCCCCTTCGCTTCGCTACGCGTCGCGGGTGCCTTACCAACGCCCGGCGCGTCGCGACGCCGCGCGTACCCAGCGACTTTATCCACCCTGAATCCTCGCCTATGCGAGGGGTTGCCTCTCGCCAGGCAAGAACAACAACGGTCCTTCTCTTTTTCAGAAAAAATATGTATATTAGTTCCGCAAAACGTGTGCGCGGAAATTGTTTTTTTTTCTTTTTTTCTTTATAATCACTCGCTTTTCCGAATAAAAAAAGGAAACGGTTTCGGATTCGAAGAAATTTCAAAACGTATAATTTCACGCCAACGCACGCACACGTCCGTATCAATATTTTTCAATAACGCGAGAGGTCATTAACGAGGCACTTAAGCGCGCACATAAACGCACACGCGAAGGGTGTGTCTTGATAAAGCGCCTCTTTTCCATTATTACGCAGAGCTTTCGAATGAAGCTGAGTTAATTTCGCTGTGTAATAATGGATATACGCCGAAGGAAGTAATTTATCGAAATTAATTTTCTCAGTGCGCCCCCATATCTCTTTGTAATTACAACAATATGGAAGTTTCACGGTCGAAGCTTATGAGATTAAAATTGAACCGATATTATCTCTCGGAAGAGAGATAGACGACCTTGCATATTGATCTCTAACCATATTTTGATCTTTGAGGATGGAGAGTGTTTGTTATTTTGATTGCTCGCAAAGTGCGTCTCGACCTATCTGTTAAGAGAAAAAAAAACAGTTTACCGACACTCTCGTCTGTTCGAGAGGTGTCTATCTATACCTACACGCCACATAAATATTTCTTATTGTGCAACATCTTTAAATATATGTATATATATATATATATATATATATATATTCTGTTCGTACGTGTGTATCGGGCGATAAGATATCGCGTCGAATAGTTTGAACAGCGAGAAAAGAGAGCGAGAAAAAAAGTTAAATTCATAGAACACATTGTCAACCGCGAAAGCGACAAAGCTCGAAAATCCGAGCCGCTCGAGGCGGAAGACCTTGGAACGTGAAACCGTTCGGCGTACTAGTGTCGCAACACGACGACGACGACGACGACGACGACGATGACGGTGAGTGTACTGACGTAATTCTCTCTCGCACGCGTGTGTATTTACGCACCGGATGACTCCGTTGCGTATGCATTTTCTAAGGTGCGTCGATGTGTCTTTCGTCGATGTTTCACGCGAATTTTTCAATTCCTCGTCGAATCGCGCGCGCGCGCGCGCGCGGTGAAAAATCGTCTCTCGCTCTGCGACATGTTTGGATGGCGATTGATCGCGGCACCGCGCGCACTCGTAAATCGTTGTTTGATCGTACATTTTGCAATAATAAATGAATTTTGGTTTTTTGTTATGCGACGACTCTCTCTGTCTCTCTCTCTCTCTCTCTGTTTCTCTCTCGCTGTCCCGGGTGACCCAGCGGGCAGTCCAGCGAGTCCGGCGACTGATTTGGGGGCAGCGGGCGAATATCGATTCGTTATTTTTAGGGGCAGTCCATCCGCTGTACGGACCCCACCTACCTCGGTTCCCAGGTTCTTGCACATTCTTGCGCGGGTTCTTATTAATGATGCTCTTTTATATCGCGCAACATTCATTCCGGTAGCTCAAAAAAAAAAACGTTACAATATCGACATGTGCGCGCGCGATTGCAATAACAAACGTCGCGAAAACCGAACGTCATCAAATAAAAAAGTTTATATTGATTCGATTGATCTTTTACTGTCACGGTCTTTTTTTTTCTGATTATTTTTTCTTTTTCTCACACATTTGCATGCACGTGTAGTAATAAACGTAGTAGAACAATATATCTTCAACATAAATATTCCAGTGATGATTTATTGTTAAATAAAACAGATCGGTATATATCGCAAAAATATAACGTACAAGTTTTTTGTTGTGTATATTTTAAAAAAAGTATTACGCGTTAAGAATATGCGTTCGACTTAGTGTCGACTTGAGTGAAAACGGTGTTACCTAATATCGATAACAATATCGGTATAATAACATGATGAATACATTATTTATATATATATATATATAGTATATAATATGATTATATATGTATATATGTATATATGGAATATATTATATGAACAAATTCTTCTTTTTCTACTTTACACACAGTTCTTTACACACAGATGACGACCTACCTTCTTTCTTTTTGTAAACTGTACAAATATGTATATGACAGATTAGACACACACACACACACACACATAACACTCTCTTATTTTTCAAAATGACAGTCCATTATTCTTCTTACGTCTCGTCGAGCAATAAAAAATGCTCGGACCAAGACGTCGGCTTTTTTATATTGGAAAGTTAAGAATTAATTATATAGATATGTATGTATATATATATATACATATCTATTTAATAACACAAAGTTAGATATACTTAAATATTGTATAAATTATTTCTTGAGATCAAACAATTATGAAAAGTCAAGACCATATGTACAATCCGTTGAGGAACTTAAAGCTTTCTACAACCTCTATTCTGGCAGGATCGGGACTACAAAAGTGACTTAGTAAATCTTCGTTTAACCCGCAATCGCTCAGATTCTCTTGTCCGAAGACGTTAGGCGGCACTTTGGAAGCGTTGCTATCCTCTCCTTTTGTGACACCTGTTTGATCTGTAGAAGTATAAACATAATATTCTTTTTTCCTCTCTTTCTTTCTCTCTCTCTCTCTTTCTCTCTTTGTCAGTTATTAGAATCATCGCCAGATTGAAATCTTGCCAGATAAAATGTCAATGCATGTCACTTACCGTATTTCACAGCGGAGAACGAACTCGTTGACGCCAACTGCGCGCAACTTGCCGAATACTGTTCCAATTGACTAGATTTCATTAAATGACAAAGAGAAGGTAGAACGTGCGGCAGAAGCGGTCCTTTTAGTTCGAGAGAATAATATCTATTGTTGTCATCGCACAATCGTACCACACTTTCACGAACCTTCGCCAGACAAAAAGAAAAACAATTGCGTGAACCCGCAAGCGAGCACAATACAAAGTTACACTCGGCCAACTCGTGTATTACCTTAAGCGGTTTTAACGTGGCCCCGTGAAAAGCCGTCGGAGCCAAAAGCGTAGGCGGGATCCCGGCTAACGCACCGGTCACCGATGTGGCTGATTTGCAATTAATTAAAAAATTAAACAACGCCTGCGTCTCCACGCCTCTCACAAACACGAGAGACTGTCTCAAATTGTCCACTCTGCTCTCCTTATCCATGGTCATTCTCGTCTGAAACAGAAGATTTGCGACAGATCAGAACAACGAATCGAACAAACGCGCGCGGAGCCGCCGTATTCGACGTGCGTCGTACTTGTGAGTGATTGATTTTGAGAATTTCCGAATTTTCTATCCCCAGACTTTCGAGCAACGCGCCATCGTGAGCTTCGTCATCGTCTTCGACATTATTCTCCTGCTCGTTCATTGTCGTGTCAGACACGGAATCTACAGATTTAGAATCTAATTCTGCTGATCGTCTTTTAGGATCCTTCCTCAATGGCATGGAATATTCTATTTCTGAAAGAAAAAAAAATTGAGACAATTTTTCGATCACGTGCTAATTGCACACACTTGACATTTCTATCAATAGAGATGTGCGCAAAGGAATAAAGAGAGAATCTTCTATAAATTTTTACCTTCTTGCTTCAGCAACTGACGGAATCCGCGCGTCGTGGGTGACACGAGGGCATGAATCTCCGACAGTCCGCAGATACCGGCAGCGCGAAAAAGCACGGTGAATGTGTTCGCGCACATGTAAAAATACGGACATTGTCCCGCTCGCAGTAAGTGAAACAGGGATCTGAAACTGTCGCACCATTCGCTGTGCAGAGCGTCCTTAGCTCCCTGATTGTTCGCTATCGCCGCATTGTTTGCGAGGGCAGCGCTTACTTTGCCCGACGAGCGAGGAAAAAGCTCTAACCACGGTATAGACGGGTGTTGCCACAGCAAGCAACACTGATGAAATCTAACGTCAATGTACATTGTGGTTTTTTACATCAATCAGAAAATCAAACAAGACAAACGTAAACAAAATCATCAAACCTTGCGTTCAGACTAGTATCCAAAGTTGTCTCTTTGTCCCCAATGTTCAGGCATCTGACAAATCCAGTGGTGCCCGACGCCTCTTCGCTCGTCTTGAGTTTGCTACTCCACGGGAAAGGTTTCGGAGATGTGAATCTCATTTTAGTCTTCAATGTCCAATCTATGGGCAAGTGTTTCGCGCCTCTCGGGCATTCCACGTTATTCTCAACGTTTGATTCTAATTTTGAGAGAACGTTAGCGAAATTCAACGACTCATCCGCGGTCACATTCGTCGTTTGTTTCTTGGATTGAACGTCGATGTTCAATAATTCGAACAACGTGTTGTCGCTGCTGATTTCCAATCCGCTTGTTACGTCTCTCGGTTTCTTGCACGTTTCATTGTTAACATTGATCGCAAATGGATTTTTACGCTTCTGACTTGTGTGCTGCAGCGCATTGCTGCCGGAAGTTAATCCATCCAAATTCTCACCTTGAACAATCTTGTCCTTGTTGACATTCGTTTTATTGATACGTGCCTGAAGCACGCGTTTCTTCAACTTCATACGATATAGTTGCATCACTTGATCGGGCCGTGTCCATTCCAATGTGCTTGCTTTTTCAGATTCCGCCATTGGTGCGCGTAATGTAATCTCGTCATGCTGCTGTGACATAAACGCAATGTGATAACAGTAATTATTTATTTACCGTAGATTTTTATTATACATACGCACCAAAGCGTTGAAAAGTAGTTCATACACAAACCATCATTATTACATTACACATCAACATTACAGTAAACTATTATTTTTACACACGTGGTAACACTGGTGAGAGGTGCCACATGTGTTATCAATATAATTGATAAAATATCGATATAATTGATAAAAACGAATACACAACTCAAATATTACATAAGCAATGAAATTTTTTTTTTGTTATCGCGTTGTTAACGCTACTCTATTGTCGCGAGTGCAATCTCTTCTTCTCTTTCTGACTGGCGCGCTCCTTTTTCTGCGTAAACATCAAACGCCGTTATTAGGTTAGGTTAAAAATTCGCAAGTTTGCAGAACGCGAGCACGTCTTCTAAATATAACCTGATCTATTTTATTGTTCTGAATAACTCGATCTATTTCTACGGAGAAAAGAAAATCATACGCACCGCTTTTATTATCCACACTTTTTATTGATCAGCACTGTTTGATAACAATACGAGCACACTTGGATACTCTCGAGTTATCAATTGAAAAATATGTTGCCAAACAAGAGGTTAGAAACACGCACGGTCATCTAGCGGCGAATAGACGAAACAGGTTGCTTCAGGTTTTGCTCTTACTTCGCCATGCTTACCGCTAGATGGCGACAGTTGTCCCGCGTTTCCGCGACGCGGCCATATTGCACGTAGTTCGACCGCGTCTATTCATCTCGATACTTCTCGATATTTCGAGAATCGCAAGCGCGTTCTTCGATATATTTGAAATCGCGGACAATCAATGGGATCGCGTCGCGCAAAGAGCATTCAAATCGTTCTCTATTTTTTGTGCGTGATTTTTGTCGAAGAAAAATCGCGGATTCCGCGTTTAAAAATTTATCGAGTTAATCGGAAAAATGTGTCGCGATAAAAATACGGATTACATTCAATTCTGATAAGTATGTTAATCATATCGCACCAAGTGACTTTTCAGGTACAGGTTATTACGCGAGTGTTGTGCGCGTGTGTGTCTGTGTGAAGTGTTCATCGTATTCATTTAATTTATTAATTAAGCGCGGTTGTGCTATTATGTGTAAAAACTGAACGCGAGTGTAATCGGAGCAGCAAAATGACATTTCGTGCCAAACAAAACGACGATTGTTATTGCGAGCTGAAGTGTAGCGAACGGAAACAGTTGACACACACACATCACAATATATGTTTGTCGGGTACGTGTAATATTTATGTTACGTTATTCTCTTTTATTTAGCTTGCATTGATACGTGGTGTTATAGTTTTTTGCATTAACTCACACAAACAAATCTTAGACGTCACACAGACAGTTACGACCGTTTTCATTAGACGTTCTAATGAACGTTATATTGAGATTGGTGGTTTTGAGTTTTTGTGCAAATTCATATTTTACCGAGTCACAAAACTCAGACAACGAGAATAATACCTCGTTATGTGTAATTTTGATCGACTTTGCAAATTTAACACAAGTGAATTTAAAATTGCTTGATATATGAACGGACGAAAATTTTTGTCTAAAAATGGCGGTCACAGATGTAATAAAAAAAAAAAAAAAAAAACTAATAACGCCTTTTACACGTACATGTATGTTTTACAAATGCAAAAGATTCGTTTTTTATTTTATTTGATCCGTCTTGCAAGTAACTTGCGAGAAATAAGACGGATGTTTTTTTTATTAAATTCACTGTACCTGCACTGTAAGATGGAAAGTGGTGTCGTCTGGTGGACGAGGCGTGAAAATAGACCACAAGCGTTAAATTTGAACGTGTCTCGACTCACGAAACGGTTTATTTCAATACAATGTTATATATACACATAACTGTTGAATTTCCATTTATACGTTTTAACAAAATAAATAAAATAGTTTCATGCGTTATTATTACGCATATAATCAAGCTTTATATATATATTTAGTTTTTATATATTATATAAAAACTTATATAATTACATTAAAAAATTTTCATATATTATATAAAAAGTCAAAAATTATATATATTATGTAAAAAATTAATTGGCAAAAAAAACTGGAATAATACATGGTGTGAAATTTGTGGCTTGAAATGACAAAACACACAAGATACAACGTTCAATTCTTAATTTTATTTCGAAACATCAAAGTTTTTTTTTTTCCGACGTTCAAAGTCAGTCAGCAGCGCGTAAAATCAATAATAAAATGACCGTTGATTATTATCGTCGATTCATTAAGCATCTCCGCGTTGGGGCCAAACCCCCCCCTCGCCACCTCGGTTCGTATTCGTCGGTCAGCGTATCGACAGTTTAAGCTTGATTTATATTTGATTCAGATGGTAGAGATATTTCATCGTTTCTCTCTTTCTCTCTCGCGCAATGTTTCCACAACTTTCCCGCAAGTGTGTGTGTGTGAGTGTGTGTGTGTGTGTGTGTATACAAACGGTGTGTGTAGACAAATGGTGTCGGACGCTCGGTTCGTTTTCTCCGGGTTTTCTACTAGCAGCTGAACAAGGTGATACAAATCAAGCTTTGGTCCGTCGATCTGCGAAACGCGAATCTAAAGCGACGCGTACATTGACAACATCCATTGTTCTAAAAATGTCTTCGACACTCTGGGAGTAAGAAAGGAAAGTAGGAAGAATTTGGAGCACCAAAGACTCCTATTTATTATCTGGTTTTCACTCTCTCTCCCTCTCTTTCTTTCTTTCACACACACATACACACACATACTCTTTCTCTCTCGCGCGCGTTTCTTGCTGCGTACATCTCTTCTACCATATTATTAGTATCACTCGCGCTCGCACATATTCTCTACATTCTTGTGTGTGTGTTTTTTTTTTTTTTTTTTTTTGGCACAAAGTCATCCGGCACTAAGTAGCTTAGCGGTGACCAGTAGTGGATGCCGTCTTCTCACCGTGGCCACAATATCGGTATGAAGAAAAACATTGATAGAAAGTGCGACAAGCTGCTACCGCTTTTGGAGAGACCTCCGAGTACGTTGCTGGCGCCGGAACTTTGAGCGGCCTCGGCCAGTCCTGAAAAAATCGTCGTGTCTTTTCACGCTCACTTCACGGAAATTGTGACAATTCATTTTCTCTCGACGAGAAACGTGATCGCGCCGAGGAAACCAAGTGGCAAAATCGCTGTATCATGTGGAGAGGGAGGGAGGGATGCAGTATCGCAATATTCGCGAAGGAGAGAAAGAGAGAGATAGAAAGAGAGCAATGCGTTCTACTCACCGCCGATGATAGATACGGTTTCCTTTACACGTGTCCCTCGGTCGATACCGATTTTAATCTCTGAAAGTGCAGCGTCACAACAGCAAATTTCAAATTTTGAGAAGAATTCGATTTCGCGATTATATATTTTTCCTGACCGCCATGACCCCGTGAAATGACAACAAAACAAAACAAAAACGAACTTACCGTATAATCTCAAAGTTCCGTCCGCCTTTCCTAGACTATTCGTTGAGACGCATTTGTAACTACCGACGTCCTTCTCCGTGAATTTTTTGATTAAAAGCCACATCAGGACCGTGTACCCCGTGCGCTCCTCCCGTATGCTGTATTTCGGTCTGCGCATTGCATTCGGACGGATTGAGCGTTAATAGTGATTTCATTTTGTGGCGGCTGATGGAATTTTATCGCATTACTTTATATCCCGAACGGTATTACAGCGAATGATTAAAAAAAAAAAGAATAAAAAAAGTAACGAACAAAAAAGCGGAACGACGAGACAGAGAGAGAGAGAGAGAGAGATAATAACGCTCACCCTTCTAGTAACATTTCGTCTTCCGTGCCTCGTTGATTCTTCACCCAATAGTTGATCGTGTTTGGAAATGCCTCGACGTAACACTCGAGTTGCACATCCGTACCCAGAGGAGCGCCTAATAGCTGGTTGGGTGCTTTTACGACGGGTGCGACTATGGAAATAAAATAAGTGTACATGGAAAACTCGCGCGCGAGCAACTTTTTCTCGAACGCGCGCGCGCGTGTGTGGTGTGTGTGTACGCGCGGGGAGAAAAAGTTGAAAAAACTAAAGTACACTACAAGAGAGTTTCTCGCGAAAGTAAGAATCAAATTTTGTGTTTCTCTGTTTTTTTTTTTTTTTTTTTTTTTTTTTTTTTGTTTCATTTTATTTCCGTTCCTCAGTTTCGAAACTTCTCCCGCATAACGCGGGCAAATCTTCTTTCTCTTGTGAAATTGCGACAACTCTCGCGCGCAGCGCACTCGAGCTTGTATGTACAATCGTAACACCCGCGTGTGAAGTCCCCCCGTTTCTCTTTTGATGTGGGATTTCAACGAATTAGTCATACTTTCTCAGAGATAATTAGCAGCGAGAACGCGTCTCGAGCTTAAAACGAATCGAGCTTACAATTCACTGCGAGCGTCACCCGCTTGCTAACCGCTGGCGGCACGTCGTTGCTGGCGATGCAGAGATACGCCCCCATTTGCCGCCTCTCGACACGGTGGAAATGCAGCAGCGAGCCGTTGTAGTGGTCGTGCTTCTCGAAAGTGCTACCACCTGCGTACACGGGAGAACATTTTACCACCGCGTGTTCGCGGAGAGAAAAAGCGATCGATCGCGATCCCCCGGTTTACTTGGCTTTCTAAAACGCTTCTAAAACTGAAACAACGGAGCTCGATTACGCTCCGATTATTTTCACACACTTTTTCGATTACGGTGTCAAGAGAGAGAGAAAGAGAGAGAGAGAGAGAGAGAGAGAGAGAGAGAGAGAGCATTAAAAAAAAATTCCGTCAAAAATCGCGAAAATTCCGCGCGAAAACGAACAGGACGGATTGAAGAAGGCGAGAAAATACAAGGCAACTGTACCACTGTGACCGCGGACGTGTACTATCGGCCGTACATTTTTTATTAAAAAAATAGTTATAACAAAATTCATACGTATAAAAAGTTAGGAACATATACATTTAAAAACTCGAGAAAAAAAAAGTCGTTCACATGTGGGAAAAATTCTGGAACGTATAAATTATATTACAGTTACATGAAATATCGCTTAAGTCTCGAACATATAATCACGCGCGATTATTACTCATAATCAGATATCGAATTTTGTCCCGTCACGTATGAGGGATTTTTTTTCCCGGGAACGTATTAAAAAAAAAAAAAAAAAAAAAAAATACCCGACAAAACGTTTGACAATTGCTGTTATCGTTAATATAATATTTACGTTCGTCGTTTGATATTTACGTGTCTAATAATTACTTCTTTGACGTCCGGCCGTTGGAACAATTTACTTTTGTGTAAATTGGTCGGTCTAAGTGACGGGGTTCGCGAATACACAGTCGAGCGAGTTTTCTCTCGTCGAGTTCCGGAGGGCGAGAAGAGGGCTTTTAGGACGCGTTCTTTCGCCGTATCGAAAGTGCCTTGTCCCGTTGACAAGAGCCGCGAAGTAACGGGCGCGAGTTCGCGTCGAGGCGAATAGCCGGTCGTACAAACGAGATAGGCAGTTACCGCCGCCGACCAATTTCGCTACCTCGAGAGACTCGCGAATGCGAGCGTACGCGCGTCAATTTACGCGCTACGGGGATCTTTACGGATATCTGACGTAATACACAAACCGAGAAGGTTACTATCGGGAGAAAATGCTTTCTCTCGGTTGTCTGCGCGCGCGCTCGCTTTCTCTCTCTTTTACTCTCTTTCTCTCGTTTTGTTCTTCGAGGCCAGTTCACAAAGAAGAACTTGTTTCAACGAGCTTACTCGTTACATCCTCTTTCTCTCTCTCTCTCTCTCTCTCTCTCTCTTTATCGTCTTCTCTCTTCGTCTTCTTACACCCCAATCTACATACCCGTGAAAACACGAATCTTCCCCAGTCTCTTTCTCTTTGGCTTTCTTGACTCACCACCAACTCCTTCTTCTCCAACGGAGAAGTCCGCTCTCTCGCTGTCTCATTATAAAGTTAATCTCTTAGATCGCGATCGTCACGTTTGCGCGCGCAAACACGAAAGAAATATTACTCGAACAAACGTGACTCTTCGATGAAACTTCACATCGATTTTTTATTACGAGAAAGAGAGAAAGAGAGAGAGAGAGAACAAACTCCTGCGCGAAACTTTCGCGATTAAATGAAGCGCGAGGATGAAAAGAAAAAAAAACTAAATAAAGTTCTCTGTTTTCGCGAGTGCTTTATATATATATAATATATATATATATATATATATATATATATATATATATATATATATATATATATATATATATATATATATATATATATTAGCGCGCGAGTAATGAATAAACAAACACTACTGTTCGCAATTAAAAGGCAGTTTGCGTGAAAGGAAAAAGCTGTAACTTCGACGATTTTGCTTTTTGCCGCGACGACGAAGCGATCGATTAAAACGCGAGGTGGCAATGACAGTAAGTGCAATCGAGAAAGGATTTCAACTGCGCGTTCTCCGAGGTCGCGATAATGGCTCGTGCTTAATGCACCTCTCGAAACAAGCGACTCTACGAGCGCATCTTAGATACTAGCGCTTAATTATGCAATTAATATCAAATTATGCCAGGACGTATAATATCATATCGTCTACTTGAGAGAATGTTAGTTTGTGTGTTATTATCTAAAGTGCTTTGCGCGCGCGCATACGCTTTAGTCGGTCTTTCTTTATCGATAAAGTGTGAGAGGGAAAACCTTATAAACCTTTGAACAAAATTCCAATCTATTTAACCGCCGCCGCGGCATTGTTTTTCTAATTTTATCAAAGCCACTCGAATTATTTTGTTATCCCAATTGTTTATTTAACATTGATTACTTCGCGAGTGAAGTTTTGCAAGTAGCAATCTGGCGAAATAGCGTTCTTCTCCCATGTGTGACGCAAACTATAATGATTACAGAGAAATAGAATATATCGCAGAGGTTTTTTTCGGTTTTTTTTTTTTTTTTTCGGGACTACTCTCTCGGAGGGTTGTTTCTTACCGGTCGTGGAGGACCTTATGACGATGGGTTCCCCATCTTCCCTCTTCCAAGATACCCTCGGTGTCGGACGTCCCGTCGCCCGACAGATCAGGGTCGCATTATCGCCCTCCGCCACTGCTAGATCAGCGCTGGTATCACCCCCGTAATCGATGTCGGGCGGCACTGCGGAACAAGCGGTCATACGGCGCGGGTAAAATATGTAATCGTGGGTCGCGTTCCCACGGCGGGAAAACATCCTTGTCTCGTACGAGTACTTTATGAAAGTCATTACGTAAAACCGACGGCACTTTGTTGGGCCGTCTCTTTGAAAGGAAGAGCATTCTCAACGCGCGCGTTTACATACGGGTGAAGACGGGTGTGTAAGGGTATAAGGGAGCGAGAATAGGCACACTTTAAGCGGAGCATTCGAGACAGGAGAGAGGGAGAGAAAGAAGGGTAATTTTATGGAGAGGATCTTTTGTACGCGTTTTGTACGAGACGTACGCGGTTTCCGATTTTTTATCCGCTCGTTCGAGGGACGAGACATTTCGCAAAAGTTTTCGAGCACATATGTGGGAATGTACTTCCCCTCCCGATCGTCGTCTCATTTTTATTCATCGCGATTATTTCGATTTGCATATTCTTTAAATAAAACGCTCTTAAGCAACATTCGCATTATGCATCGCTCTTCGCGAGCATGTTTACAGTTTTTCAACCCAGTTTCCGTCTTTTGATGTTTTTTAATAACTCGCGTCGGTTGCTTCCGAGAGAAATATGATCGCGCGCGATCGAGAATTGAAGAGGAGAAATGCGGATACACGCGCAAAGGCAAATGACTCAATTGTCGGACACACATCGAAGAAATGATTATTAGATGTAAATATATTAATCACGTAATATTGTCAATAAAAAATATATCTTACAATTATAAAAAATATATCTTACGATAAAAAATATATCTTACAATTATAAAAAACTATAACATATAAAATATAATATATATTTAAAAATTTACTACAGAGTTTCCAAATTTATCTAAATAATTACGTTGTTGATAATTATTCAATAAATGCCCAATGACACATGTCCGGTCATTGCGACAATTACCTCACCATCGTCGTAAACGTACGCGCCACGTACGAGAGAAGATAAGAGAGATAAGAGTTCCCGCTCACGCTTACCGTGTATGTCGAGACAACCGAGCTCGGATATCATCGGGCTGGTGTTGATCTGACACATGTAACAATCTCTATCGGACTCCTTCAGCTGGCGTATATGCAGACGCCACGTGCCGTTGACGACTTCCTCCGTGGCCTGGCTACTTCCCGTCACTCCGAAGATGCCTCCGGACGCGCCGCCGGACCCGGAACTTCCGCCGCTCTCGTACGAGACCGAGATACGTGCATTATGCGTCACGATCCTCGTGTGGATCGAGAGAATCGTCTGGTCCGAGGCGCGCAGCCAACCGACCTGAAAATCAACGACGCGACGCGACGCGACACGAATGCAGAACAGTCTCCGTTCCCACCGTTTTCTCCTCGTGAGAATGCAGCATCGGGGACAATTGTTCCCGAGCGCTTAATAAATATATGAAAAAAAAAAAAAAAAAAAAAAACAAACAAATTTGGTCGTAAAAAGTTTATTAAAGTAATTAAAGTGCAATTATATGAGAGAGAAAGAGAGAATACAAATGAATGCGGAGAGAAAGGACTGCCAAATAAGAGAGACGAAAACTTAAATGTAAATATGTAAGAAAATTAGGACGCGAAAAAGGCGCTTCTCTCTTTTGCCCACGACCTTTTGCTCCCTCCCTTCCTCCCGCTCCTTCGCGGCAAAGAGGAAACGATCTTCCTGTTCTTTGTGTTTCTTTTTTTTCTTTTTTTTTTTTTTTCGAGACCGAATTTCGCGAGAGACAAGTTTCACGAAACGCAAAAGCGCTTCGACTCGATCTAACCGCGATTTGTTTTACTTCCGTTTGGCTTTGTCTTGTTTCACTCTTGTGACGTAGCGAAGTGACACGATATGAAGATTAAGCGCGCGCGTTGGCGCGAGGCAAGAAGAGGAAGGGACACTACTTTTACGAGTGGAATTTTTCACGCGCGGCAATTCAATTTTGCCGCGTGGCACGTCGCCGGCAACAAGCTACGTGACCCCTTACGTTTGCGATATCAGGATGGCGCGACATTTGTTACGTTACGTTTTGTCATCGTAATTCCTTGTTCTTTCCAATTTTTCGCCTCGCAACAAAAAAAAAAAAAAAAAATTCGATCCGTTTCCGATCGTCGAATTCCGTCGGAATCTGCGACGGAAGAAGTTAAAAGCGCGCGCACACTCCGCCGCGCGGATCGGAGATTCATTCATAAATGATTGAAATCAACATTTCCGTCGCAATCGCCGCGATGATGTGACAAAATCAAACGGGTCGGGTAAAAGTGACCCTTTCGGTGTTTGAAACGCAATCCGGTTTGGCGCAGTTCAAATGCCATTACGCCGGGATTAAGTGCCATCACGGGCGCGCGCGCGCGGTGAACGAGCGCGTGAATTTAATCGGCTTTTAGGTCGAGTTGTTGCGTTTACCTTGTACTTGCGAATGCTTATGTTGTGAACGGTGCAGGAAAAGACGACCTCACGGCCGATCGCGGCCGTTTGATTTCCAACCGGCGCCACGAAAATCGGACCTGTGGCAGTGTTCGTTGAATCTGAAACATTCCACACAGATTTGTACGACTTTACCGTTAAATACCAATTGTTATTCAGCGCTCATGTGTGTGTGTGTGTGTGTTACATAAAGAGAAACCGTTCACAGACAAAATTGTTTTGCTACTATGCGGACAGAAAAAAAATATCTTGATTCCACTGAATCTTTTGTCAACAAAAGTCTTAATTGGCTTAGCAAATGTTTCTTGCTGGCCGTATGCGATAACTAATTTCCGACAAATTTTTGTTTATTTCCCCGCGTTAAATTGGGAGATTTTTCCGCGTTTTCACACATGCGATAATAACAAAACAAAAAACAACGACTTCTCTTCCGCGGCGTTTTGTGACTAACAATAAGTAATAATTCAATGCCGCACGTCGGATCCCACTATTTTTAGCCCATCTGCCGACGGGAAGAGAGAGAGAGAGAGAGAGAAAGAGTGAGATTAATGGAAAAATATTGGAGAAGAGCGGAAATTCCATCGTTACCCCATTCATTACGGTGACAGTGAAATTTCCTTTGAAAATATTTCAACGAAGCGTGTGCCGGCACAGCGGCAATGGTGGCGGCGGCGGTGCCACAACGCCGGGTAATAATAAGTGCATGTCGCAAAGTTTCTTAAGCACTATCAAGGGTAGCTAATTATCGCTGCTTATTCACGCCTGTTGGTGGATTACGACGTCCCTAAACAGATAATGTCAAGTGGTTCGAAGTTGCGGCAAACTTTCGGTCGCATCGGAGGCGTCGACGAACTTCGCGCGCGAAAACGACGACGGGGAAGGGGCTTCGTACGTGAAATTCTTGCTCGGAGGATGTGATGTAGCGGTGGATGATGATCTTTTTTATTCGATACCGTCGAGTGTGTACGTGTGACGCGATGCGAATAGTTGATAAATAAGCAACACCCGCTTTGTACACACGCGTGGGACGCAGATACCTATCTTTTTAACAAAAGTATTACGACCACACTTTATCATCTCCCTTTCCCCGGATGACGCGCGCTTTGTCATGCCTTAACGCGCGCGCGAAATCTCGCGCGCGCACAGAGATATAACTTAGGATTAGATTAGAACGGGAGAAGAAAAGCGAATATCTACGCTCTCAAATCTGGGTTATACCTGCGTGTATATATATACATATATATATATACATACATATATATGTATACGATGTGTATATATAGAAGATATCGCTTTTATTCCGTACGTTTTACATTTACACAGACCGCGGTTACGTATCTTATATTCCTTTCTTCGCTTTTCTTCGCGACATTGCCGATTGTGCTCTTCCGACCAACAGTGAGAGAGGAAGAGAAAGAAAGAGAGAGAGAGAGAGAGAGAGGGAGAGAGAGAGAGGGAGAGAGAGAGAGAAGCCACATCTCTGCGACGTAGGCAATATCCAAATTGCCTCTACGGATTTAACGGTTTCCGAGAACGGCACCGCGGGACAAATCGCCGGGGAAATGAAACGAGCTGCCAGATTAGACAGTAACGCTTTTGCAGCGTCCCCGTCCGTAAAAAAAAAGAGAGAGAGAGAGAGGAAGAGGAAAAGATGGTCGCGCCACGCGCGCCACTCTTGAAGCTTCACACTCTTTTGTACCGGAGTGAACGACCCAAATTCTCCAACGAAAGGACGTGGAAGGATAGATGAGTTTGGAGAATGTGGGAGGGAGGGGCAAAAACTCCAAGAGTTTCTTATTGTGTTCGCGTTATTCCGAAAAAACATCTCTTTTCTCTTCTTCATCCGTGTCTCGCAACGCATCGGACGCGGGGATTCAATTTTGTTTATCGTCGGAAAACGGCGGCGAGTCGTCGCGCTTTGTTTTTGAAAATATATTTCTCCAAAGACAACACGCGGCGCTATACATAAAGGAACTTCGTGAAGTGTAACAAAAGAATAGCGCAAAACAAGACGAAGAGCAGAGACGAGACACAATAGACGACGAGAAAGCGATAGACTACATTGCGCACAATACATAATTTAATGAAGTTAGCAAATTGTGTTTTTTCTTAACAAACATCGTGTCTATACATGCTATAATAATTCATCCTCCTATATAAAAAAAATCCATGTATAGCGAAGTGCGCGTTACGGAGTCGAATCTATCGCATCTATTGTTGCCTCTTTTCCGCCTTGCCGATTAATTGGTTGATCGAGTCGAGTCGAGTCGAGTCGAATCGAATTGGTAAGATCGAGAGAGTAAATAATGACAGAAAAGCGATTTTGACAGATTGTCATATACGTGGAGAAAATTAAAAACGTGTAACTAAAGTAAAGTCACGTGACAGGAAAGAGTAGAAAAACAACACGTGACTAAAGTAACGTGACTGTAATTTATATTATATATAACATTCAATATAATATATACTATACATATATAATTTATTTTATATTTATATATTTTATATTTATTTTATATTTATAATATTATACTTTATATTGTATTATATGTATTATATACATGCTACAGTAAGATCACTAACCCCGGCCGCGCGACCTTGGCGGGGACACGTAAGGTATTTAATTTTTATTTAATATTTTATATTTTTGATTATTTTAGTTTTACATATATATTTTATATTTCATATATTGCATATATTTGTCAGATTTTTATTTTTTTAACGCACAGATTTGTATCTTTCTCTTACTCTCTCTCTCTCTCTCTCTCTCTTTCTCTCTCTTTCTTATCGTAAGGCACGCGTTGTACGGGAGGAAAGAGGATGAATTGTAAAAAAAAATTAAAACACACTCCTTTCCACCCTATCCGTATTCAAGGCAATCAACGGCCGGACGTTCTTTGCATTTTTATTACGCGTAACTTACTTGTGGAAGGAGAGACTTTCTTTCCCTAAGTTCGTCGCGATTTCGCAATACGGTCACAGAGACGTGAATCCTAAAGGTCTAGAGCAAATGTTCGGCGAACACCGCCGCGCTTACCTTACCTATTTCTCTCGGCGCGCACGTTCCGCGCGAAATTCTTCGACATATAAATACGGAAACGAAGTATATATAACGTTTATTGCCCTTTCTCTCATCTATATCTCGTCAATGATAACTTCCGATAGTCTTTTATGTTCGCGCGCGTAGGAAGGAAGATACAGTGACTCGAATAATAACAACGCACTAACTCGCGTTTCCCCCGTTAGCAGCGCCGCTCTGGGCGAGCCCCGATAACCCCGGGAGGAAAAATAATCAATCATCCTCGACGTTCTGTAATTTTCTCGCGTTCCCTCTTTCTCTCTCTCTCTCTCTCTCTCTCTCTCTCTTTTCCTTTCGTCTTTTCCTCGCGTTTTCTTTCTCTCACATCATTTCTTATCTCGAGTATTTCAAAGTAAAGTCAAGGAATCAATACGGTCGCCAACGTAGCGCGCACAATCATTTTCTCGCTTCAAACCAGAGAGGACGACGCCATCGGGAAACCTCGTCTCGAAATCAAATTCCGAGCGCAGAGAGCGCGCAGTACATGTAATCCCCAATAAATACATATGGATATATCGCGAAGATTACGAACTGGGGGCGCAGGTGTGTGTGCACGTCTATGTGGAGAAGTATACGTATCCGATCTTTGATACGACGTTCCTCCTCCTTTGCGGCAAACTTGATGGTCAGTTTCGGTGGCCGAGAAGAGAGAGAGAGAGAGAGAGAGAGAGAGAGAGAGAGAGAGAGCCAGCAAATCTCCTTTCGACAATTCCTTGTTTTCTCTACCTCGATCGATTTGTTCGCCTCGCGAGCCGTGTATTCCCGTGGACACACAGGAGGTTATAAATCCGAAATATATGTTTCTTCGAAAAACGAGAACGTAAAAGAACAAATAAATGTCATCTCTCTCGTAGAAATCAATTATGGAAGATCGAGAGACCAAATGTCGCGCGATATACATGATCGGATACACTTGAAATAAATATGACCAAACGTTTGTTGAAAAGACAATGTTGAATATATCGATCGTAACAATTCTCAATAAGAAGAAAAAAAACTTGTCCTAAGAGTAAATATAAAAAATTAATCTAAACAATAATAAATTTAAGATACATTGACAACACAAATATGTCGCAAAAACATATTTTTTAAGATGTGATTATATTTTTTAACTCGACGCATGTAAATTCTTTGCTGTGACTGTCTCTTCAATGGCTGTTTCCGGTGTGCATGTCCGATTGTCGAGACCTTAACTGTACATCACACAACAAGACCGTTAGCGCGCGGTTGAATCTAAAACTTCCGTTCTTAAATATACAATCACCGAACACAAGCGAATCTAAAATACAAAACAAGTGCGAAAATAACGAAATTGTTTCTATTTTAAACGCGAAGCTGAAGAAACCGCAGCGAGGAAATGATTCAGTCGCTGTGTGTGTGTAACAAAAGTTAATATTAAATGTCGCTGCGCGACATTTCCGAGCTAATGAAGGACGCGAGAACTATAAATCTTTCGCGTGCTTCGGTATATAGTATATGTATATGTATGCGCGTGTTCAAGCACGCGTATATAAACTTCTCATGAAACTTCAGACATCTCAGGAATATTCCAATCTCCGAGTACGCCGCGAAGGCAGACAGCTCTAAATATGAAATTCTCTTAAACGAGACCGGCACGCGAGGAAGATCTTACCCTTTAGCTATACGGTACCGCGCCAGGTACATACACACGCGCAGCAAATTTTTACTCTTATGCATGCGCACACGCTACGGTATACCGTATCATCAAAATATAGATACACGAACTAAACCGTTTCCTTATTGAAGGTATCATCGAGAGAAATTTTTTTTTTTTTTACGCGAAAAGTGTGTAGAAAATGAAATTTGTTCACAAACGTTTGAGCTCTCTCTCTCTCTTTCTCATGTTAAATCGAACGATTATTGTCTCTCTTCGTGAAAGGATGAAGCTTTTCGTTTGGATTTCTGTTCGAATTGTTTTTACACTTTGGCGCAAAACGCGTCGTCGAAAGCCGAGAACGCTTCATTGAGTTAACTTTAATAGGGAAACGTGAGTCCGCGAAT